CACACTTTCCTCTGCTAAGTTTCTTGTGCATATTGCAAGTATGTCATTTGGCTAATAGTAAACAACTTTGCTTCCTGAATCTTTGTTTTTATTTTAGTTCTTTTCTCTCCAGCATGCAATGAGCAGGGCACAACATCCCATAAAATCGCGTATTAATAACAATGCATAAAAGGTCAACAATTGAAAAAAAGTCAATTTCGCACCATGTACAGCAAATACGCAACGTCGCTACCACTTGCGCTTGTGACATATTTTATTTTTTTATTTTTGTTTGCTGTTCGTTATCCTCTCCTCACGTAAATGGCGACGGTGGCAACAGGCCGACGACTACTGGATCCATGGGCTTCTATGGAAGTTATGCTACCAGTTTACATATACCATGCATATACTGCACTACATTTTTACATACCACGTGACCTATCTAGCTCTCGTAACAAACATGTGAAATAATAATTCATGAATAAAAGGTTTTGTTAGAAAACTAGGTCTCCTGAAAACATTTAAAAAGAAAAACGCATCACACTCAAAAAGAAATTAAAAAATTGTGATTGCACAGGAATATTAGTTACGTAACAGCGATCCTTCGCTTAAAAAAAAAGCTTGACACGATAGCATCAAGAGCTTTTAACAGACAACAAAAGTGCACTGCACTGCTGTTCGCAGCCACCTCGTACAAGACCCCATACAAGAGTACAGCGCGAGAGCCAAGAAACCTCGCCACCCTCACTATCTCGTAAAGTGCGTGCGTATATCACTTAGTGATAAGCTAATGGTACTTACAGATAACGGCTCTCCACGCGAGCAACCACGTGTTATTAATACAGCACACGTTGGCCAGTTCTATTTAATTTTTTTTTAATACTATAGGTCATGACCGTCGATGTAGAACTCCCGATAATACATCAAATTGCGATTGCCGTCTGCGCTGCGACTCCCGTGAAGTGGTCGCATTGTGCAGCACAGGTAAGAAATCTGTGCCCATGCAAACGAACAGCCCAACATACAGAGGCTCGTTTTATTGCAAAGAAAAAATAAAAGAAAACGAAGTCATACAGCGGGACAGCCAACGACCAACACACCGATCGAGTATAAAGGTAAGCCTAAAGGCTCGTGTATTCCAAAGCCTGCACACAGCGACGCCTCTTAAAGCGCTCATTGCAAGTTTGGATTACAAAACGAAGCAGTGGCAAATCACCATTCATAAACACTGTGCCACGTAGTCGCCGACACGTCATGAGTCACGAATAAAGCGCCGAAGTGCCCGTTCATATAATTTAAAATGGGTTGAACGCGCATTCCGTCAATACGGCTACGCATGTAACTAAGTGGTTTTCTCTACCTGTAGACAACGATGTGCAGATTTCATGTGCGATGGCTTTTATAAAATCAATGAGAACACGCCTGTCTAAATAAATACGTAGCTAATAGGCGCAAACCGGGAATGGGTTGTACCCGTTTTGTCACTCACAGAACCCATTTTGAGAACTTGCACGTGCCAGAGCATGCAGGAGAAGCGTCACATGCAGGGAAATGACTCCACGTTTACAGTTACTCGCTCATGGCATACCTGCACACGTAGGTGACCGCACCCAGCAGCGTCGACATGAAAAGTGTAGCAACCGAAGGAACGCGCTACGCACAACCAAGAACCTGAGAGTTAGCTCTGCTACGCTCACCACTCGACTCTGGTTTTTGCTAGGCGACAGAGGCACCAAAACACACAGCCTAGCTAGAAGAAGCAGCACACTGGATGGCAGAACATTTTTGAGAGGCTACAAATATTTACAATAGTTGAGAGGAAATTATGGCCGCACCATGCATGGGAGCTTCGTCACAAGAAAGGTTCAAAGTAAAGAAAATCCTGGTTGGGCGCATCATATTAGTAGATTTGGCCTTTTTTTCCTGACTGAAGCTGAAGTTTGCATCAAAATTCTAGCTTTCGAGGCTGTGTTGGAACAGTTCGGCGCAATTTTCATGATTTTTACACTTTTTCAGCAGCTGGGCGCAAGAAAATGGAAGTATACCGAAAATGCGCAAAATGCACAGATGTCTCACCCCTGTTCGCTGCTGCTGCAGTTAAATCAAGCGATGAAATGTAGCAAAGCATTCCTCACAACTTGCATGACACCAGTGTGTGAATGAGAGCAAAAAATTGTTCCGACATGAAAAGAAGACTGCCAGCCATATTTCAACATTATCAGCAGTTTTTTTTTTTTTTTTTCAGTTGAACCACGAAAGCATGACACCATATTTTTCGTAAGATAGCTCTCAGGCTCTCAGGTCTGCATTGTTAAAAATGTATGCGAAATTTATGAATGCCCAAGGCTGGCGCCATTTTTCCTGCCCTGCACAAGATATAATGGCCTCTACCTCGTATAAGTGTTCAAGGGGGACGTGTAGTGATTGATTTCAAACGTGCTAATACTACAGTTATTTGTAAAGTCAACCAACTGTTCAGCAATTATCTATGTTCAGTATAAATAAAAGACTTATAGATATGCTTCCTGCAATAATAGTTACTAGGCAGACTCTTCAATTGGTCGGTCGGTTGAAAAAGCTGTATCAAGGATTATTTATTTAACTGCACTAGAAAAAGGATGGAAAGACAGGACATGGATGCAGCGCTAGCTTTACACCTCTGGTTTATTCACCAACTCGACACTTGATGTTTAAGAGACAACAGCAGCCCGTGCATATGCAGTTGTGCAATTTAGCATTTTCAACAGCAAAGCACGTGTGCACATGGTTCTGCAAGATTATCAGATTAAGATCTTGCAGCTAGCATTGCACTGATTCCACATGGTCATTCTTTTCTTAACTGTTCGTCTGCACATGCTTGGCTGCATTAAATTAAAGGAGTACGTAATGTATACAAGTGCACATATGCATGCTGCGACTGTCTACCATTTTATACATGAATTACTTCAGTAAATAAAGTAAATGCTGGTTGTTAGTGTTGTGTCCTAGCCATGCCTATCTGATCTGTGTTCTTTAGTGTGCTAAAGAAGTTATATTACGGTGCACATTGAAGAACCACAGGTGGTCAAAAGTTTCATAACTAAAACGAAGCATTCTATAACGTGCCTCATTATCACACCGTGGTTTTGGCAAGAATTCATTCCAAAGGTTACTGTTTATTACAGTAAAAGCTTGTTAACTTGACACCTGTTAATTTGAAAATTCGGATAATTCAGATGTCTCTATTGGTCCCGACCAAAGTGCATGTTAATCTATGGTATCAAACTCGTTAATTCACGAAAATTCGGCTCTGCACCACTTAATTCAGACAAATGCTGACGGCTGCCGCTACAAGAAAGTATGGTAAAGCAGCGCACCACTATAATGAATCGGAAACTTGAGTGGCATCAACATCGTCATCAATTAGTGAGGGCAAACGTAGCGTCACCGAATATCGGTGTCTTCTTCTTCGACGCCATTTCCCCTTGCGTTCTCCTGTTAGCACCGTCTCTTCTTGCGAAGTTCTCTTTTTTTTCCGCCGTGACCACTGCGACGAGGCGTCAGCTGAGTCTACCGAAGATGACTGCCTGACCTTTGGTGCTGTTCTTCCCACAGATGTGACACCTCAAGACTACATTGCGATTGATGACTGTGTTGCGACGACTTGTCTCCTGACCGATCAAGAAACTAGTAATGATGTCAAGGGCACCAAAGAAGACCACGATTCCGACTAGGAGTCATGCAAGGAGATGCACCCACGACATTATCGCACCTCTCGAAAAGTCTTTGGGGCGCTTTTGATATTAGAGGAAGTTGGTCAGAGCACTTTCAACAAATTTCGTGCTATTGGTGATTTAGAAGAGTTAAGAAAAATTTTAATGTGAGCCGAAATCTGCACGAAAAAGCAGATGACCATTATAAAATACTTCTGTAAATAAAGGAATGCTTCTCCAACTTGATTTTAATGTTCTTTTTCTTGTTCATTCATTAATTCGACATTCGGAAAATTCGGACATTTTTTCCAGTTCTGTAAAATCCAAATTAATGAGCTTTTACTGTTTTCACATGCTCATCAGCCATGTTCTTTCATTGTTGTTTGGGGTGTGGATGAAGCTAAAATGTCACTCACGCAAAAAAAGCAGAAAAACTCTGGTTCGAAACAATGAAAGAAAATATTAAACAATGTTTCAATATTTCCAAAATGAAAGTGCCATATTTTGCCCCATATAACCCACACAAAGCACTTTAAAAATTGAAAGACAAAGTTGCACGTATTCTAGTGTGCATGATGGCTTTAGAGCATTACTCATCAGTAATGTAAGAAAGGTGGTGATGGTAGAAACCAATGATAGGTGAGGACGTACCACTTACATTGGGGCTGAAACTGGGTCAAGATGAAACTTTTAGAAGCTCTGAGCGCAATTAATAGGAGTCACTTCCATAAAACTATAAAATTAATTTTCTCACTTGAAATGTGTGGGTACTACAAGGTGATCTTATTCATTTATTTTACGGACGTTACTTAAAGTGTGAGTTGTATGCAGGAAAGGGTTCTACATGAAAAAAAAACGTAATCCTATCAATAAAGTTTGTGCAAGCACCCCTAATATCGCAAGAAAATATACTCAACCTCATAAATTGGGTACATAGAATTGAACCAATCAGCACATACTTTCTCTATATCATATGATTATTCAAAGAAGGCTAGCCAAGAGCAACATAAGCACCTAGAAACGCATGAAAGAACTTGACACAGGAAGGCAAGAAGGTAAATTTAAAGATTTCAAGAAGAGCAAGTGACAAATATAATACTTGTGGAAAACAGAAAGTCCAGATGTGCAGCTTTTGAAAAGAAAAAAGAGAAAAACACTCATTTTTGTACAAACAAGTGCAGTGAAAGGTTAGAGCCATTCCTTGGAAGTAGGAAAGAAGAGAGTTCAATACTAGGCAGCCAAGCTGAGCATTGAGCTAGAATATCATGCAGTAGTGCAACACAATATGCAGGACAGACTGGTGGTGTGAGAAAGAGTGGACACACCTACCCCAGAGGGTGAGGTCTCGAATGGCCACATCCACCATCTGGAGGCAGGCAGGGTTTTCACTTGGTTTTTCTAAACCAACCACCAACACAGAGATACAAAGTTAGAACCATTGCAACAATGACATAGCACAGGCTCCATGCTCTGGTACAATGGCATCCGCAGCAAGTCCTTTCTCTGGACGCACTAAAAGCAAGCTATAAATGCGGCCCACAGATGGTCAATACATTCTTAAAGCACACAAAAAGCTTTTAAACCCTATAAGCCTTGCCAGTAACTGCACATCAGGTTCCTTCAAATATAATGCCAATACAGTTAAACATCAATATAGTAACCAACTTCAATATATGTACTCTCAAACCTCATTAAAACAAAGCTGCATCTTACACGAAAATAAGTTCATTATAACCAAAAAAGGCTGTTTTACTTTTATTTCGTTATATCCGGGTTCACTATATCAAGGTTTGAGTATAGTAAAATTCTCATTATATTATAGTATAGCCAACTTTTATTAATGCCGCGCCATGGAGCATTATGTGTGCGTGTTTATCCATGATTTCAATATAGTAACAGTAAAACTGCTGCCAGAAAGAATGACACTAGCAATAATTTCAATCTGCTGCGAGTGTGAGTGGTAAACAGGCATTAGGTAATTTAGTTGTATTTCTTGCCGACACACTTTTCCACTGCATGACAGAGCGTGGCCATCAAAGCAGAGAACAAATCTTTTTACGGCAGCTGCAATATTACTAGGTGGCCATAGCCACTAAAATATGATACCAAAACATAGATACCATAAGCTGGGCAGTACAGTGTTGATCAAAGGCACTAAAGAGCATACCTATCAGCAAACAATATCAAACACTTTACCACCACGTGCTCTATACAGAATACAGAGCGTTCTATAGACTGTATACATGTATTCTACACAGGTTTTACATCCTACATGTTTCTTGCATGAACACCCACTGGAAAGGGTAAGTTCCTCTTGTCACTGTCTGGCCAGTGATAAGCATAGGTACAGGCAGTAGTTCTTTGTTATACTAAGCACAACTATTTTTCACTAACCCCATTTATTGTAATGTAATGCGAGCTTTTATAGATTTTCACTTTTGTAATGTAACGGGAGATTTTATAAATTTTGTCTTCCTAAAATCAACCCTTGCATAATAATCGAATACTGAAATAACAATTTTTACTTCCTGCATGCAATCAAGAGTCACCCCTCACATCAGAATTGTGGTCGCACTACAGTCAAGCAAATGTAAATATGGTACCTTGAACAATATCCCTCAATGAGAAACTGGATGCCACCAACAAGGCTAAAATCTTTAAAACGATCTCAATCAGCAAAAAAAAAAAAAAGTGCTCTCTCCACCTGTTATAGGATACCAATACAGTCCCTTTTCATGATATTGAACTCAAAGACGCTTACCTCCACTTCTTAGACCAATTCTTAGTCAACGAAAGTGGAAGTGACAGATGGTTTGGCTGTAAATAAAAGTGCTTTCAGGACTGCATTGTCTTACAACCAGTTTTGGATTTTAAGTATATGAGTTGATTCAAATAGCATGGCTTTACATTGCATTGCTGCTACAATTGTGTTTTCAGCCTCCCCATGTATTGTTCCCAGGGCACAATTCATTGGTGAACAATAGTAGTACTATACACACACAACTGATTTTGTTGACTGTCCTAATGTCGTAATGAGCAATTTTTACAATTTGCAATGCAACAAGGGTCTCCCTTTCTGCACTGTAGGCTGCAAGCATAGCGACTTACCACATGTCAAACTTGGACATTGTGTGCTTGCAGAGAGCAAGAGGAGTCGTGAGTGAAGTGACACACTACATGCAGATACACTGAGAATCGGGCTCTCATTATCCCACCGACTTTAGAATCCTAACAGTAGTGGGCACCACTTCATGCCAAAAGTGATTCCTGTATTCACATTGACTGGTGATCATTGTCAGAGCACTTGATCACAAACGTCTTAGCTTTTGCAGATGGCTGACATAGCGAACGAAGAAGTGTGAGAGGCCAGCAGCCGGGATTTTCACAGCAATATTGCAGCCAGTATTTTTTCTGTTAGCTTACAATATACACTCATGCAATGACGACATTTAAAATAAACTATGTATTAGCGACATCCTTGATATTTGAGAAGGTTTGCAGCATTACCAGCTGTGTGGCGCAAGAACTCAAAAGATTTTCTTCCTTTTTTTTTTTTCAACGACAGAACAAGACACCTGTGCCAAGTCTAAATAACACAGCCTTCAAGGCACTGCCACTGCTGGCATGTGGACCCTCACCATTTGAACCAAACAGCAGGAAACATGGTACCAAAACAACCAAGAATAGCCGGTGCCACTATTAAATCATTTGTGCTTCTAATTTTTCTCATGCGCCAGTCGCCAGTCACAAGCAGTATTGAACTCGCGCACTACTCTATGCTTAACTGTTTCGGCCCAAAGGTCGGAGGTTCGATCCTGACCGCAGCGGTCACATTTCAATGAAGGAAAAATGGTAGAGGTCTGTGTACTGCGCGATGTCAGTGCACGTTAAAGACTAACACCAGATGGTCTAAATTTCCAGAGGCCTCGACTACGGTGTCTCTCATAATCAAACCATGGTTTTGGGATGTTAAACTCCAGATATTTTAATATTATTACTCTCATTGTTTCAGCCCCTCTGTTCACAAGCCTACTATGGTCATCACAACTAATGAAAATAAAAAAAATAAGGATATATATGAGCTAGACCGCCCGCTTCAAAATGAAAGCGATTAATTTTGCAAGAGAAAATGGAAATCTAGCGGCTGGTCGGAAGTTCAAGAAAGACAGGGAGCAATGGTTACACATTTTCAATGGAGATGCTACGCGTGAATATGCCTAGCATCACACAAGACTAAGGCGTTCCGGTGACAGTGTTTAAAGCCAGCAATGAATGGACCTGGTGTTCCACGACATAAAAGAACCTTACTCTTCGCTGTAGAAGAGCAATGTGGCCGTGTCTGCCAGAGGACAATAAAGAAAAGCTGCTCTCAAGAACCGCAGAGGGCATACTATAATAGCCCGCATATAGCCAGAAATTTTGTTTTTTTTAAATATTAGGGTACAAAATTTTGTCCCCATATTATATGCGGGTCCCAAGAACTTTTGGCCAAAATTCAGTTTTTGTTTCGGCATAGTGCGGTGCTATCATCATTATCAGGTGTTTGCGCACTTTTGTGCTAGGTGCTAGGTAGTGTTACTGGCGGTAGCAGGCGTTAGTCTTACAGACCAACGCGTGCCACAGTGGTCAGTGGCCTTTGCTTTAACTTGGGGCCTATAACGACAGCCACGATTTCGCTCCTATGATTTTAAGCAATGTCAGCACCGCGCAGGCAGTAATAAGCTGTTTTTAAAAGGAAAGTTATCGCTGCTGGCGAAACCGTTAGCAAATGTACCGCGGAGCGGCAATTCGGAGTCAACGAGCGGAGTATTAACGATTACGGAAACAGAAGGACACCCTCTTTGCTTGCAGCAGCCAGCGAAAAAGCTTCCGTGGACCAAAAAAAAGAAAGTTTCTTGACATAAAACGAGAACTCGCAGACTTTGAGCGAGAGCAACGAGTTGTACATCTCACTGTTAACATCGAGCTGCTACAAGCAAAGGCAAGCAAGATCGCCCAAGACAAAGGCATTCAGCGGTAGGATTTCAAAGCGAGCAAGCATTAGGTGTCTCTCTTCATGCGCCGCGCTGGGTTCTCCCTACATCCGTGTACGTCGATCTCGCAGAAGCTACCAAAGAGCTACAAAGAAGACCTTGTGAAGTTTCCAATGTAAGTAAGAAGTTTGCGTTGCAAAAGGCTGTCCACTTTCAGCTGGGCCAGTTCAGCAACGAGGATCAAATGCCGGTTTACCTGGATATGCCCTCGGTGCTGACGGTGAATCAGAAGGGCTCCAGGCAAGTTATGGTGCAATTGACTGTGAACGAAAAAACGCGGGTGGCTGTAATGCTGCCCTGCCTTGCAGATGGTCGCAAGCTACCACCCTACGTGATGTTCCAACGAAAGACGCTGTCGAATGGGGATTAGTACCCAAAAAATGTTGTTGTCTGCTGCCAGGACAAGGGGTAGAGTGACGAATCGCTAGTGCTTTACTGGATAAAGTCCGTGTGGTGTCAACAGTCTGGAGTACTGCTGGGGCTCCCTTTGATGCTTGTACTTCAGTGGTTTCGGTGTCACCTGACTGACTCCATAAAGCAACTGCTGCGCGACTCCCGCACCAAGCTCGTAGTCATCCTGAGGGGGATGACATCACAGCTGCAGCCGCTTGATGTGCGCCTTAATAAGCCATTTAAGGACCATATCAAGTGCCTGTACAGGGAGTGGATTTTCGTAAGGCTCCAGCATTCCCGTGCCCACCCCTGGCACTGCCCCCGATAACAAACCTTGAAATACTATATGGCTGTCATCAGATATTCTTTTTATTGTGAAATGCAGACAAAGTACTTCCTTATGAAATAACTTCAAAATGTCAATTATGGCTCTGCTGAAATCAGTGGCATTAAAAAATATCCACATAAAAATTTTAGTCATTGACATAACAGAAAATCATCTCAGCTCTAAACAACATCCATGACACTGTTCAACCACATGTTATCCCACCAACTTGTCTAGCTGCCCCAACTTGTTAAAGACCTACAGATCTGTTTTATGTGAGAGTGTGTGCGTGTGTGCCCAGAAATGGTACTGCCTGTATTATTGTATTTCAAATATCGCCAAGGCAACTTTTTCAGCAGAAGTTCCTGCCATAATCTAGTAATAAAGGAGAAAAATAAAAGCATAGACAATTGAAGATGGAGAACAAGGGGAAGAAAAATGCAAAAAATAATAAGTATCACCTGCAAATGCGTGCCTTGGCTGAGGCACGATGGTACTAAGGTTGCGTGTCTTCACACAAAGTCGGAGCATAAGGAACATACTGGCAGACATAACAACACTCTGGACCAACAATGGAAGCTCGAAAGGACGTCCAAACCTGCAAAATGAGTGTAAGATACCAAGTATTGTGGATAAGGCAAAAAAAAAAAAAAACGAGTCTCAAAATTTATATTTTCTTCAAGAACAAAGCAGGGACTTCAAGCTATTATTTAATTATTTTTATTACAGCATGAAGTCAAGACAATTATGACAGATTTGTATCAGATGCAATTAAAAAATTGCAATTTTACAAAATTTTCAGGTGCCTATGTGATTCGTATTGTTGCCCTCCTTGTGAAGAAAAGTATCAAGTGCTATCTATACCCATAAAACTTGAAGCACCATTACTACAATACAGACAGAACTGTGAAAAGTTAATATGATATTCTCCAAACACAAGGCACACGTAGAAATATTTTCCAGGCCAACTTTCACAGCTCCCTCCCTTTCAGCAAATATAAAATTGCAGTGGTCCCACACCAACAGTATGATTATGGAGGACATCGTAACAGACGGCTCTGACAATTTTGATTATCTCGTGTTCTTTTAACGTACACCTAAATATAAGTACACAAGCCTCTCACAAAGTGCCTCCTTATGTTTCAAGCACGTCCACCCCATTTTTGAAACAACTGCGCCACATGGGCTGCCTCGAGTCACCGTGCAATTGGAAGTAGTACGTCATTTATGTACCAATCAGATCACGCAGTTATCAGCTGATGTGATGATCCTCCTTTCCATTCCCTCTCTTATTATTCATCATTAACTAAACATTAATAATTACACTCCTTGTGAAAATGTTATCGAAATCAAGAAACTGACCAATACCACGTGAGCCCACTGGAGTCCATTAGCTCTGTACTTGATGACATTGCAAAGAAGCGAACGAGCGATTTTTAGCCCATTTTCATAATTCATAAATTTGTAAAATTCAACACAATAATAACTGTGCTGGCATCTTTACAGGGACCTAATCTACAGATAAATATTTCCTCGATATGTTCTTAAAGCGTTTCAGGGCCCCTTTAATTCCAGAGCACATGAGCGGCTGGCATTGATACTGATATACACAAAGGCACCACCTTAATCAAAACAGAGAAGCTCTATCACTTTTTTCCTTCCTTGCTATTGCAGCTGAAGTGAGAAAGTCAGTATCGATGACTGCCAGATTTTGCATAAGACCTCAACAATTTGTCCTATTAAATGCGAATGAACCATCATTTGGAGGACAATAGAGAGCTAGGCTAGATGTTATAATGTCCTTCATAGTATGGGAGTGCAAAAACATGTACATGCGTCTTGGTATCCTGCATCCGTACGCTCCCACACCCCGAAAGCATCACTCAATGAAGTCACCAAGCCTAAATACATCGGCAACAAGAACTGAAGACCACCTAATGTTTTCTGTTATTATAAGAAGCCATTCTTTTCTGTTATTATAAAAATAAAGTTAACCAGATAAATATTACCATACACATTAAACAAATTAGTACAAAAACAGCAAGAACTAAAACAATTCAGAAAATTACTGGACAATTGATATATTGAAAATATTTCATTACATACTGGTTAAATTATATTTGGTTAAGCGGAATTCAGATATTTTCTCCACATATTTTTCCATGTCATAGTGCTTGCATGCAGTCGATTTTACGTCTAATGTACATTGGTTTAATACTTCCATAGTTTTATCTGCTGCAGCACATGAACATCCCCAGTGCCTTTTGTGAAGCTGGCAGATGAGAGATAAGATTTTTTATATCGTCCACCCCTGATGTAAAGTTGCATACGGAACCTTTAAGGATATATTAAAAATAATTCAGTCAGGTAGACTGGCATAGCTACATGCCAGCATGACATTTATGCTGATGCCCTTCTTTATATCTGTCTCATTTTCAACACAAGACATGGCGTTATTATAAACCTGTCTCTTTACCTGGTGGCAGTTGGAAAAGACAGCCATTTTGCGAAGGCTGCCATGTGTCCCAGTCGTGCAGGCAACAGACCACATTTTAAACACACACAAAATGCATTAACAAGACATGTTCAACTGGAACGTTACTTACCAAAATAGTATCCTTAAGGTGTTGGCCACCAACAGTGCTAGACAGACCCAGGTTGAAAAGCCATCTGTATTTCTAGTCTTCTTGATCTCCCGGTATTGGGGAATGTAAGGAACAACTCCACCAAAGATCATGGCCACTGACGCACCCCATGAGAGCCACTGGCTAATTGAAGCCATGAAGACAGTCTCGCTCAAAGACTGCATGGCCCCGGATAGACCAGCAGAGGTCACACTTGTCATGTTTCTCTGGCTTGAAGCTTGGCCAACAAGATCAGCTAAAAACCAACAACCTGAGTAAGTGCCACATCTCTTTCTTCTTCACTATGAAAAATAATGAAGAGCCAGTAACTCTAAATACAGACACAGGAACAACCGATCTGTTTGTTTGGTGTATGTGCATGTTGGTGTTGAAATGTTAACTAAAGTCACGTGAACAATAGCACTTGAACACTAACTGTGCTGCTCATAACAGGACTAGAGCACATAGTTTTAAAGGACAATTTTTTATACTTTCTTGATATTTGAATAATCTTCTATGCATTCCCTCCTTTTAGAGCTTGTCAAGAAAGAAATTATTTGAGAAAATGGTACAATATAAAATACTTAATTAATGCAAATGATTTCTAAAACAGTTTGAAAATGTTATAAAATTTATTTTCACTGTTAAATATCATCATGTCAGCTGCTGACCGCTTAAAAGTATAGTGTAATCAAAGCTACAGAATAGTGATGTATACTGTAATAGTAAGTCCAAGTGAGGTAAACTGCTCCACGCTTGCATGAACATGTAATGTTTTTTCGCCACAAGTGTCAAGATCTCCTCTAACACTTGAAGCATCATACAGAAGATAAAGCAGGAAAACCTCAAGAGATGAAAGCATAAATAGCAAAATTAAACAATGATATACACAACCATTTATGTGGTATAGAGTAAAAAAGTAGAGTTAAACTCAGTAACAAACTTTTAATAACTTATGCAACTTCACACCCACCATGGCCAGGTATATCTCACTTTCTTTTTTTTTAAACTCAATTATTCAGTTACTGATTTCCAATTTCATACTCCAAAGAAGTTTAATGAAAATTACAATAAACTGATTCCTCCCCCAATTTACATTTTAAAGAAAGATAATAATAAATGCAAGAGTTACAAATAATTAATACTGTCCTACTTCAAGTCGCCAAGATGTATTAAAATTACATAAGTAAGAACATGGTACCTTCCTCTTTTTAGCATAACGGTTTAGCAAAAACCAACTTGTACTATACATTCACCACCTATTGGCACTGAGTTGAACGATTCTTTGTTGCCTTTTGGTAGCCTCACTTGGAAGATCACAACAGTTGCACATGGCATCACATTTCAAATATGTCACATACATATAAACAGTGATAACATGCTAGGAAATGAACACAGCACTAACATTGTTCTGCATATGAACACTAACTGATGTAAAGAAGGTCTTGTCCAACTATGATGTTCACAAAAAGTGTTGCCGAGCTGGCTTTTTTTGTAAGTGTGTAGGCAAGAAACAGTAAAATAACATGATAGCAGATAAGAACAAGGTGTTTGAGAGCTGTAGACTGAAAACCGAAATGCTGAAAAAAAAATTCAAGATATGCTTACTAATGTCAACAAAAGCTTGCAAGATAAGGAAAATGCATATCATGCCCTTTATGACACAAGCCCATGTGCACTCCTTTGTACTTTCTTTTCTTTCTTAATAAGAAGTGCAAAGTACAAAATAAAGACATTAGCAAGCATGAATTTGTTATTTCATGTAGTTACTTTATAAAGCATTATTACCAACAATGCCCACACGCCAAAGTTAATCAGATGAATTGGTGATACGCTTGGCAAGCAGTTTTATTTTTAAATGAATGTTTGTGTGAGGAGCATAGCTAGCTTAAATCAATTAAATATTTTTAAGTAGCATTAAATGAAGACCACTACAGGAGATAGAGAAACCTACCACAAAAATCTCCAACTTTGAACTGCTAGACATTAAAAAAACTGCAAATACTCCCACGTTGTGCTTTTTAAAAACTTAACCAAAACTCACATTTAGACCAAGGACTTCAAAAAGTATAACCCGAGATCAAAGGAACCTTAACATATCATTGTGCAAACCGAAGTTCTTGCATAAGTTACATGCACATCAACTTTACTCACTTCAGATTCCAATAACTTCACACCAAAACTAGAGCTTTTTGACTGTAACTACAGGTGACAAATAGTGATTTAATATCCCTCTTAAAACTGCCCAAACAACATGTGTAGCTTAATAAACATTTCTTACAGATGCCATTAACAAACCTGCATCACAGTACATCACAGTTATCTGAAGTGCTCAAAGAGATGGCCTGACAAAGCACCTGTAACATCTAATGGCTGCTACTTCTTCCGAGATCAACTGCGAATGATTGCAAAGATTACAGGTGCAGACTTATCAAGGCACATGCCAACATGTTCCCTATTTGTGCCTAGCACTAGAAAGAGTATCATTATTAATTTATCACCAGTGCCTGCTAGATAAAGAGCCTAAATAACACGGCAGCATTCAGCTAACTTCTGTCACTTAGCTGCAATTGTCTGAAGCAACCAACTGCGTATTTATTTTCCTCCCACTTACCGTAACAGAAATTCCTCAAGAAATACACTTCTGTGCAGCAGGTCTTTGTCAATAGCAACCAACTACTTTCAGTATAGCTAACTAATTTAAAGCCAGTAGTAAACCATATGACAATGAGTCCTGTACATTGCTATTTCAAGTCAGAGTAACTATAACTATTGGCATTTAACATCCCAAAACCATGACATGATTATGAGGGTCGCTGTAGTGAATGGATTCGTAAATTTTTACCATGTTGGTTTTTCTACCATGCATCTAAATGGAAGCACATAGGTGGCAAGCATTTTCACCTCCATCAAAAATACAGCCGTCGTGGCAAGCATGACGACCACTAGACCAATGTGGCGAGTTTCAAGCCAAAGTAGTGACTCTTACCAAACAGGAGTTTTGTAGAAGGAATGAAATATGTACTTTCAGCTGTAACCTAATGCCAATGAACTTTTGTTTTGGCCTGTATTTATATTTTTTGTTTTTGCCACACCAACGTGATAGATCTGTAAGCTGTGTACAATTTTCGCCATTCAAAAAGGAAAACGTGCAGCTTGTTATGAAACAGTTTTGAATATTTGTACCCCTCTCATAGTAATCTATAAAAAATTTTGTCATGCTGCAAGCACTACATGTTGTATATTTAGGGTGACATAATATACGAAAACTAGCTATAGAAACTTAATAAAGAGTGCTTGGTTTGAAATATGCATATTTATAGCTTCTAACATCAATCAGTTACATGAGACACTGGTCAACAAGTTCCTAAGTTGGTGTGTCTTATGATAAACTTAAAGTATAAATGCCAGCGAAACAAACATGCAAATCACAAGATCGCATGCATCTAGAGAAAGAGTTCACTCATTGCAAGTGACGTTATTATTTTATGCTACTACACGCTGCGCTCGTCCTAAACGTCAAGCAGACATATGTCAAGCAGACATTTGCAAATGCACATCGCTCAAGCAGAGTAACGGCCACAAATCTGAATTCAATAAGTGTTCCTTTGTTTCACGCACTGTATCTACGTTTGACAAGCGCGAAATAATAAACGCCGTTCTTCTAGAAACTGCCGGAGTGCCATCCATATGATGACTAAGCTTTATGGTGGTGACTAAGAGCGGTTGGCGGGACCACACTGGGTTGTGCACCAAACCCCTGTGCCACCTATCATTACTGAAAGTTCGACTCAATTAACGGTTGCCATCAAGAAAAAAATATTTATAACAATGCAACGATTTCATTACGCCGACAATTTCCCGTTATGAGAACAGACCCCCTTACGACTCGAAAGCTGCGCGTTAACCGTTCATTATGAACATTAAACAGGTATGCACGTGCTTGTGCATGCGTTCTACCAATTGTTTTTTTTTTACTTCTAGTCAGAAGCAATTAGCTGTTTAAAAAATTCGAACAGCTGTTATATTGGTAGCATAAACACGAGCGACACGTCGAGATGGCTCAACGCAGTGGCAACAGCTACATGTGAAGCAGCCTTATGTTGCTATGTGAAGTCATTTAGGCAGCACATTTGCTGTACTCACAATTGACGATTGACACCGCGGCATCGATGTCATTGCTGACTAGGCGGGCTGTACGGAGCTGCCGTCGCTTGGTCCCCTTGGCGCAGCGCTTCCGCCTTTCGCTAGAAAATACGAAAGTAAGTAGTACATACGTTTGAGCTGTTTCGACGGCAAGTGTAAACACCCAGCAATTTTCACGTCCTAGCCTAGCTTGCGCGCCTGAGGAAGAGTTCTTGGTCGAACAAAATGAGTATGGATCCCCCCCCCCCCTGTAGTATCGCTTATTCATTTATCGCCAGCTGTGTATCCTGTGCAGTAGCTTCACATTTACGTCGGATCACCTCCGCGATTGATTTCGGCACACATTAGTTCATGCAGCTCGTTCACTAGAAGAAACCGAAACCGAAACTGAACGTGTAACAAAGCCACAAGTAGCCATAAGAAATTGCTATCCTGACTGCCTGCACCGCCGTGATGCCATGTGTCATGCAAATTTTCCTGATTGAGTCGTTCGACGCTTGCCATAGTTCTTCTGTGATCGTGTGATGATTGTGGTGTGCGTCCACAAAGAGCTACCCCTTCAAGCCATTCTAGTGTGGTTAAACGTGGAGCCATGTGGAGTGGATGTGGGTGTTTTCTGGAGGAACTTGCTCTCTCGTAGCATCGGCCGTGTTTCAATTCGTTCTCTTTGCAGACAAAGATATGTCCTTAGACTCTGACATCTTTTCTGCAAATGAAGTACACAAACGAAAATATGATGCAGATTGTGACTTTGTGTTGTCCTGTCTACATAAATAAACGAAAGCCTTGCCACAGTCGCCCAGACGTAGGAGCACAGTACTAGGTTGATGCTGCCCTGAAGCAAGAGGATTGTCAAAGCTCTGAAACTGTGCTGAAACATGATTGACATGACTGGTAAATCTTTTTTATTTGCATAAGTGCAGCATGGTTGATGTTGAAGTCGTCTTCTCTATTCATATTCAGACTCCAGTGTCACTGCTTCAGTTCAAGGGGGAAAAAATTTGTGTATAATAGCAAAATATTGGGCATAGGGAGAGACAAGCAACACTCACTTCAGCTTTTCTGTGTCCATGTGCAACAAAAAATCTCCAACATGACGTGCGAGAATACTCGAATTGCTATGCAGAGCAGCTTATCATATCTTACTGGCTTGCCAAAGTAGGCATGCTGCTTAACATTGTTGGTGACAACATGGTGATATCATCATCACATGAAAAAATTGCTAAGAAGCTTTACAAGCGTGGAAGCTTGGGCAAGTTGGTAGGACATAACCGAATGCAGGGACAGCGCAACCTAGAAGTAGTTACTTCGTAACTACGGAAGCGAAAAAACAAGGACAGCAAAGAACGCTGTTTTTCGCGCTCTTTTCTGTCCTTGTTTTTTCGCTTCTGTAGTTACGAAGTAACTACTTCTAGGTTGCGCTGTTCCTGCATTCAAGCTTTACAGACTTCTGGCTATTTTATAGACATTTCCGAAGGTGGCAGGTGCTGTTTACTTATGTGTGATGGGCACACTGTATGTTTATAGCTGCATATAGTCGGGACATTCAGCAGAGTATAATTAGGTTCGTGTAATAAAAAAGTTTGAACTGTTTCTTTTAACTTGATGGTTATGCTTGCAGGAGCAGAACTTGTCACGATGCCATTGACATCAGGAGACTGTGGTGACATTCACATATGTGGCAAATGCCGTGCCACCTTTTCAGACATAGAAAGTTTTTTGGCACACAGGCAACAGGAAGAAGCGTCCCATTGCGTAGAACCTGTGCTTCATGTGACCTCTCACCACAGCCCATCAAGCAGTGTGACTAGAAACTTCATACAGTTCCACTCCCATGTGGTGAGTAGGCATCTTTTAGCGAATCATTGAGCTAGTGAATCACTGTGTATCTTTTGCGAGCCATTTTATAAGCACTTGAAAAACAGTGCAAAATACTTCAAGCAGACTTTTAATGACTGAGAACTCTCATACTATTTGTGAGTGCCAACAATGCAAGTGACTGAAATGATGTAGCAGAAACTCAGAAGTCAGGCTACTTTAGTTCAAAACAAAATTACTCTTGTCAATTGCATCTATGGAAAATGTGCAGCATGCAAAAAGTTTCCATAGTGTCACTTCTCATATTATACCTATATTTCTGTGTGAATTTAAAAATATTATCATAAAGGAAACAGCATTGTGCTTGCTGGTGCCTAATATTTCATATGCATCACCATTTCAACTCATGGTCTAACATTTCTTTTAAGAGGGTTCGCAACGAGCGAAACAAGCGAGAGTGCTCCTTCTCACCATGCTTGGAGGAAGAGAGGCAAGCATGCATTCGTGCATGCAGACGTACAGGTTTTTTTGTGGGTGACATGAGCAGACAACAGTATTGATGAAGCTGAGGGACTGCGGATTGCTGAAAGACCTGCTGATAAGAATGAATTGTCCCGCAGAATTTGTGGGGCATTCGTAGCTCATAGCCCTGCCATGTTTGGCTCTGTTGCACATTACGGCATTCTGAACTCGATGCACACATTATTGATGTCCATGTTATAACAAATATGTCACTATATTTCATGTTCTTTTCATTTCTACTGTGATCTAATTGTGCATCCTGGTCATTTGTTGGTCCCGTTAAGCTTTCCTGCAAATATTCTGTCCCATGAACTTTTGTTGCTAGGTGTATAGGTATGTATGTGTGACCCAACACTGAAAGTGTAACCCACCACTATTGGGGGGGAATCTATAACATCTACTCAGCCATAAAAGTCATATAGTATGGAATCTGATGAACAGGCTTTAGGCCAAAAAACCCTCATATCTCACATTAAGGCATTGGCTGTCCCATTCAGAACCTCCAATGTACCACGAGCAAGAAGAATAAGGAAATCAGTAAAATATTGTGTGTGCGTCTGTATACTACTTAAGCTACAGCGTTTAAGCAGCTTGATTTTCATTAACATACTTAGTAGCCAGTTTTAACTGTAAATAAGATAATTACCCATACCGCTAATCTTATTTGCATTAAAGGGTCCGTTTCACATTGAGGTCCCGTTCTCAGTTCTTCATTTGCTCTCTGTTAAGGTCCCTTTCAAGAACAAGAACTGTCTTACTAGCTTGTATGGCATTATTTCAGGACATCCAGCAAGACCAACCACATGCCTCACAGCCCCGTCAGCATGATATTAGCAAAGAACCAGCTGAGGGGACATTGGAGCTCCATTCTGCTGGGGCTCATGGACCCAGTAACTGGAGGTAATGCCTGAGTAATCATGCATGGTGGCAGTCTAGTACACAAACAAAAAATTTTGGATTTTTCATTAGTAAGCTAGTTAGGGTAGCTAACCATAATGCTGCATTTCGATAGTGCGGCATTTATTGGCTGTATTGTCAAATGGTGAAGCACTGGGCAAATCGTTTCACTGTCAGATGTAGATGAGGTGTTCAGCCTGTGGGGCTCATGTGTTCATAGGAAAATAAAAATGCTACTGGTGTGTCAATGCACTATCTTGCATATAGAAAATTGCTATTGGTGCTCTATTCAGTGTGCCAACACATCTGTCCATAGCATAACAGCTACAGTGTCAGTCTTCTTGGTTAAGTTCCGTTTACAAATTCAGTAACATTTGTATTGACTTTTCTGTGTGTTTCTAGCTTGACCTTTTTTTTTGTTAGTGCCCCTGCAATTCTAGACTAACAACTCATGCACACTTTTCTTGTGCTTTTTTGCTCTTAACGAGGCATCTAATTCATTAACAGTAATGAAAACTGCCAAATCATGCTCTGCTTGGTCCCTCACCACCCTTACAAAATGAACACTATGACATAAAGAGCACAGTACTAGATCTGTCGTACTCCATGATTACTCAAAATGCATGGAAATATTGATGTAATAAACTGAAAAATGTGTGAAAAAAGCAACTGTCAGTTTCAATTTGGGTAGCAATCAGCTTCCATTCCTTTCTTTTGGATTTTTGTCTCTTTTATACTGCTCTTGAATTACATTTGCTCTGATTCAATCTTCCTTTTTCTTCTAGGGTTGTCTGTGCCTTAATATGACAGTAACATTTAATCTTTTCTGTTTTTGCAAACTATATAAAATAAACTTAAAAAGGTATGCACATATCAGACTTGAGAATCGGGGCACTCTCTTTTGACAACTACACAGTAACAGCAAAGGTCTAGCATTTGTGCTTAAAAACAGCAACCGAAAAAGAAGCACTCAAAGCAAAAAGTATGTTAGAATCGTTAATGGAAATAGGTCTATGCGACTTGAAAAATTGGTGAAGTTTGCACTAAGCTGTGCAAGGCTTCAAACAGTGAAACTGTACAACATTGAAGATACATCTGGTTGCTTCTAGATTGTTTCTAGGTGATGCAGATTCAAGGTTACATCTAGGTTGTTGTTAGCTAGGGGATCCTAGTTTGTTTCTACATCGATTCTCAGTGCAGAAAGGTTCAATTTAAACTACTGGCAGCTCACACACACGACACGGTTGTCCAAACTCCAGACAAAAGCTCACAAACCAAGCGTTTTCACCTCTCGTTGATCTACAGGCATGTCATCCTTGTCATAGCCCTTCCATCGCTTCGGGGTCTTCTCACAGCCGTAATTTCCTTTACTGTTCCCTCTACGCAGTTGGGGCCTTTGGCTCACTGCCGTCACTTCCCTATGTTAGAGCTTTTTTGTTGCATGCTCACTATTCATAACAGTTTCATGTGCTTTGTGACAGCATTGCTTTACTCCCATAATTTGTTACATTGTTTACCAACAGCATTTTTTTCACTATTCGTACAAATAATGAAGTAGGGACCATAGCATATGTAATGCTTGTTTAAAGTAGTGTATCCCACATAGCTAAGCCCATTTGGATGCAACCTATGTACAGAGTTTATTTGGAATAATAGTAGTTAAATATTGGGGAAAAGACCAATATGAAGTTACTTCGTGAAATTTTAGGTGCACGTCTCTAGATTGAGTCTTGCAAGTGAACGCAAGGCTGAGACACCCCTTAATTAACCACCTTATGATTGCCTTCAGGTACATTGTTGCCCTTATATTCAAAACCCCTGAGCACGTCCGTGTCATACCAGATGTGCTGCAAGCCCACTAATATAAAGAGATCTAAACTCACGGGGTCCCTTATGCATTCGTTTAAAATGACTCGAAGGCAGAAGCCATCTTCTTTTTCTTCAGTCGCTGTATTCATTGTCCCCCTCCGAAAGCGATATGCACCTAATGTGGCTTCGCGCTACACCTCGAGAATTGGCCCTACCAATAATAGAGGCAGTGCAAAGTGACCATGTCATGTGGTGATATCATGTTAAATTACATTATGTGCTGCCACGATGACATCATAGTGATGACATGATGAAGTCACAAACTTTGGTGACCTGTGACATAGAATTGTGCGCCGCCGCCTGGTTTCCTCACGCTGCTTGGCTCCGTGGCTGAAATTTTCAAAGCGGGCACGCCGCCGCGCCATAAAGGCGGCGGGGCACTGGCGTGCCACAATTCGCCGCTTCTTTTTTTTTTTTTTTAACACGTCGACGTGGTGAATGCGCTAACGTCGCACGGTAAAGTCATGCAACACCGTACAATACTGAAGGCTCTGGCCACATCGGTCGTCCCCGCTTTTAACAAAACGACAAAAGTCAGTGTTTTCAGATCACAGTGTTCTCTGTGATCAGCAAGCACACTGCTGATGCCAACTGAGAAGGCCACAGTTCCAGCTCTAATTTCATAACACAAAACTTAGAGTGGAATCTGGAGTGAGTGTCTACACGAGTAGAAGAGCTTGTTGTTGGGCTAGTTGGTAGATCATTCCAAAAAATTAATTTGAGCGCAAATACACCACACATTCACACACGCACACACATACATACACAGCGCTGTGCGTGTTTGATGCATGGGTGTGTGTATGTGTGAGTGTGTGAATTCGTTGTGTGTTTGCACTAAAAAAATTGGCCCCGAATTTGCAAGTTACACTGCATATGTCGTCAAAAGACAATAGTCTTGCGTCTGGAGAGAGTGAACAAGTTGTTTATTTGATGTTCTGTGCAAAAAAATTGGCGAACGGTATTCTGGAGGCGCTGCGTTAGTGCCTCGAGCGTGTAGCAGAGGCAAACGAGCGCATCGAAGCACGTTAGACATGAGCGCCATCTGGCAGTTCGAAAACGAAGGAAGGCGCGCGCGCCCGCGAGAAAGATGCGTGCTTGTCTCGGAGGTGATAAGGCGTAGAACGCAAAGTGACGGGCAGGTGCCACTACCGTGTCGTCTTAGCAAAGCGTTGGAAGCACTTACCTTTTTGAGCATCGCGTTGCACTGCCAGCGCAGCGTGATAAACACTACGGTCCTTAGAATTACTTGTGTGTGCCTTCTCTAGTATAAAGGCACACATACAAAACATTGACGTGTTGTTGTGGTTCCCCATATATGCGCAATAATTGCTTTTTAATTGACAATCCCACAAATATGAACGCTGAAGCTTGAGCAATATTGGTGGGCGCTGCGGATGGGGTTGGCCGTTTGGCGTCCTTTGAGGTATCGGTAAGAGCAGACAGACAAATGTACAGACAGACAGACCAAAATTTTTCCGTCGAAGGTCCCCAAGAAAGACTATCGTCTTTAATAATTTTTTGAAATATCTGCGTGGGGCACGCGAAGCTGATTAAGCGGCGCTTCGACCACCGTGGCTTAAAATCGAGAAACCCAGCCTCCAAAAAACACATGACGACTACAAGCCCCAACGTGAGGGATTGTCTTATTTGTTCGCTTGTGTATGTGTTTTATGAACACTGGGTTCCTATAGATTCCTAGGTATGCACGAACAGGCTAGACACCAGACTCTCCAACCACAATGGGATTGATGGAAAGTAGAAGCTATGTATCTGCTTCGGGTGGATTTCGTTCTTGGCATTCGCGGCGCTTGTTCATCGAGAATAAAACGAAATGACATGAACTTATTCTCAATAAAGACTTGCTTCATTCTTCCAAATATAAAGCTGATTGCAGGAACCCTACGTGACCTCGATATTGACCCAAACCCAGGACAAATTCAATCGAACTGAGGTATTATACACTGCTAGGAATTCTTCTTGACATTTGCCGCTAGCAAATAATGAAGAAATTTTTCAAAATGAAAAATATAAACATGCGTTTAGAACACAAAAGTGCATAATAAATTTACTGTATAGAACAGTAAATAATAAACACATATTTATTTACCAACGGCAGGCACGTGTGCTCATGCGCAGAAAGCCCCCCCGCAGTGATCTAGTGGCTAAGGTACTCGGCTGCTGACCCGCAGGTCGCGGGTTCAAATCCCGGCTGCGGCAGCTGCATTTCCGATGGAGGCGGAAATGTCGTAGGCCTGTGTGCTCAGATTTGGGTGCACGTTAAAGAACCCAGGTGGTCAAAATTTCCGGAGCCCTCCACTACGGCATCTCTCATTATCATATACCCGCAGGGGCGCATGCGCAAGTAGGCGTTTGGTGTGTAGCGACACCACGGACCCGAGCTAACGGGGGGGTTTCGGCTCCCTCCCACGCCTAGCCGTGCGTGGCTGAGCCGTGTCCGGGGAAAAGGGGATTCTGGGGGTTCAACCGACGCTGGGTGATTGGACCTTTAAGGCCCCCCGGCAGAAGCAACACACCCCTTTGGCCCCGGCTTCACGTAGACGGCACCTCTGGGCTGACCCACCCAGGGGAAATCGGCAGTCGCCTTTTCCTATCTCTCTCTCCCTACATCTTCGTCTTTTGTTCTCACTTTACATCTTTCCTGTCTTCTCCTCACTTCATTTTACTTCCAATTTTTCCTGGCGGCAAGGGTTAACCTGGTGTAAATATCCAAACTTGGGTAGATATATTAGGTTATGGCAGTGGCGTACTACTGGCGTTGTGCAGACATGTTTACATGTACTGCCACGTCCCCTTGTTGGGCTCCGTGGTGGGTGGTAGGCGCCACTACTGAAGGAACTGCACTTTTCTATGGGATCACGAAACCCCTTATTCATTGATCGCCCCTTCAAAAGGTGGCACACCGAAGCAAATGTAATGGCGATTTCGAAAAAACAAGACCATTTCCCTAAGTACCACGTTATTCATTGCGAAAACTCGGACAAAAAAGCTCGCAACATCTCCCCATTCCTCGTGTCCAGGTGCCTAACCGAGACTATCGGAACTGGCTATAAGGCTACAAAGATGGCAAGCGGAGACTTGCTGGTAGAAGTTAAAGACAAGACACAGTTTCAGAA